TTGTAACTTCTATATAAATGAATGAAAAAAATTTTGACCTGTATGTTTTCGAAAGGTTTTTTTCTGTTTTATCGAATGGTGAAAAAATTTGTTTAAAAAATTCAAAATTTACCTCATATTTTTAATTTTTTTTTATAACAAATGAAATATTTTGCAAACAAATAAAGTTACTGTATTTCTGAAGTTAGCAATTGAAAGTTAACGTAATTTCACATCCAACGAGCCCAATATGAAGTATTTTGGATAAGTAGATTGTTAATAAACAATAAGTTAAAATGGCAATTTTTTATTAACAATCTACTTATCCAAAATAGTTCATATGGGGCTCGTTGGATGCAGAATTATCTTAACTTTTAATTGTCAAGTTCAGAATTACGATAACTTTATTTGTTTATAAAATATTTCATTTTTTATTAACAATAAGCATCCAAAAGCACTATTTTTTATTATTTTGGATAACTTATTGTTTATTAACAATCTACTTATCCAAAATACTTCTATAGGGCCCGTTGGATGCGGAATTACGTTAAATTTCAATTGCTCACTTCAGAATTACAGTAATTTTATTTGTTTATAAAATATTTCATTTGTTATAAACATTAATTAATTAATTAATATCTCGAAAAGTAGTACTAAAGTTTGTGCAAATTTCAGCCCAATCCGAAAACCTTCAATTTTAAAGTTGGATCACTTCAGGAATTTTGCCTCATATATATAGGAATTTTCAGTAGGGCGTCAAAAAACCTATAAGAATCGCCATATGCTATCCCATGAAGTAAAAAAAAATGAAATTCTGTTGCTCAGTGTAATTAGCGTGAGACTTCCGGCGACTGAAGGGTTTCTGTAAAGTATTTTAATTATAAATGATAGAATTTTGTTAAATAAGTTAATATTGAAAGTTAAATGAATGTTTAGAAACTATTAAATAAGAAAATGTCACGTTTGACTAATTTAACCCTTAAATGACCCGTGGGGTCCTGTGGGCCCCAACCCATTTTCAATGAAATATTTAACCATGATGCTCGTGGAATTGGTCTCTGTGACTCCATCTAGCATTAATTGAGGTTACAAACTGTATATTAGAAACAAGTAGAAAGGTCAGTGGAATTCCCGGTGACTTGGAGAATGCTTTAAAAATAGACTGGGGTCCAGAATACCCCCCCAGTCGAAAATCGTAAGTTTCCCTGAAGGGTTCACATGGCCTTCAGGTAACTGTTATGAAGGTTTCAAAAGCTTCATGGCAACTATTTATACATTAGACCTAAAATTCTGTGATATTTGCTTTCTGACTTCTTAACGGGAAGCTTTTTCTACAGCTTGTTGAATATCTGCGGACAGCTTCTAGCAAAAGGTCTACCAGTTTGCTTGGTGAATGCTTTCCTAATGCCTGATTTAATGTGTAAGAAAGCAATTCTATTTGCTTTTCACAAGTTGCAAATTAATATGTAATTTAATTACCTTTTTTACACTTCCTGAAAACTAGAATAATTTCATTAAATTAAACTAAATCGAAAAATCATAAAAATTCTATAGTAATTTGTAAATCCGTTTTATACAATTAATAATTATTCTTTATATATTATATAAAAATTATTTTTCAAAGAAAACGTTTATTTTTAAACACTTAAATTATATACGAAAAAAATTATATATAACTTGAGCAAAATTTGGGGTTAGGAATACGAACACGGTGAAAACCTTTTATATTGAATAATGAATACAATTTCTTAAAAAAAGACAAAATATTTAATATTTAAAAAAAAAGATTATTATTTTTAAACTTGATATTTATGAATATTTTTTATAAATAATATATTCTTTATTCTTTTAGAATAAATTTAAAAAGACTGTGGAAATACCGAGTCTGACGTAAATAATTTTTCTTTAATTCTTCAATATTTAAATATAATAATCTAATACATAATATTTTTACGAGATAAATAAAGATGGAAAGAAAGGTTAAATTTAATTTTTGATCATTGTCATTTTTCCGCTGTTTCCTGAAACATCCATGACGCTTCATTTAATTTTCGCCACCTGAACGCTTTCTTTTTATATATGCAAAATCCTGCAACTCTTTGATAACTCTCTCAAAGCTACTTGAATGCTTTGTTTAAAACGTACAAAATTTGTTATTTTCAAGCTTTCCGTGGAAGCGAAAAATCGGCCATAACAGGCTTCCTGAAAGTTTTCTATAGCTAGTTATCTACTGTCTCACAATTCTCTAATGGTTATCTCAATACTTCAAAACAACTTTTTGTTCAGCTTAACATAGCGTAGGATTTTCGACTGGGCCAGTGTGTCATTAAGAAACAGTTTGATTAAAAAAAAGTAAAAATTTATTTATTTGTTTTTTTATATAAAAAGTGAATTTAAATCGTAAGTATTATTGTTATAGTGAAGAAATTGTTTTCTGGTGTAAATAATGTTTTCTTTAATAGTGAAAAAGTATGACCTATAATTTGAGGCCCCGCACTATCAAGGAGCAATTTAAAAAAGAAAGCCAGATGTTACGTTTGCTCTCGATCGGCGTACAAAAAAACGAGAATATCGCTAGACTACTTGTAAATTAAAATCCGTAACAAGTAATATTTATCTAAATTTTGCACACTTAATAAAACAGTCATATTATGAAAATTCGATGTTAAATTTTAGACCATTTTTTCCAGTTTTTTTTGCAAAATAAATATCTTTTTTGAAGTTTAATTTATGAACTTCATTTTGTCTCAAAGAGTATCAGCTCACACATACAAATCACAATTTTTAGCCAAAAATATTGAAAATTTAAAAAGTTACACAATTTTTTGTAAAAAATAGGAATTTTCAGATTTCATCGCAATTTAACATTTTTTTGGCCTTAAAAAATAAATTTAACTTGAAGTACCAATTGATTCTTTAAAAGAGATGTTAAGGAACACACAAAAAATTTTAAAAAGGAAAATATTTAATAGTAAACATTTTACAGCAGTTTAAATACGCTTTTGGACCATTTGGCATCTACGTAAGTTTTTTGACGTGTGTCATCCAAGATTGTTTGGAAAAAAATCCACATGAGAGTGAAGAAAGTGAACTTTGCGATTTGCGCAAATTTTAAAGTTATGCTGTTTATAGTTGATAAAATCTAACAAGTGGGACATTGATTCGTACGACTCCTTCATATTAACAGCATATGATAGTAGAATTAATGGCTTATTGTTTCTTTAATGTACAATGACAAAAAATTAGTTGAGGTCATTAACTACTGTTAGATAGTTGACTCTCGAACGACATGGACGCTTTGGCTGATTTGTGCGTGTGGCTATACTACTGAATATCGACTTAAACGACAATTACGACTGGCAGTGCTCGGGGCTCGAAAAGTTATTTTATTTTAAAATTTATTTTATTAAAATTTGTCTATCTCTGCCAGTTTTAGATAAATCGATCGGAAAATTTCCAAAAAACTTCTTCAATATGTGCGAGGAACAAATGTATCACTGTAAGTTCTTTCAACGTTGAAGTTCCCCATAGCAGTGTTTGGAAGTAACGCATTACTTTTAACGTCATTACCGTTGCCGTTAATTATTTTAGATGACGGTAACGCGTTACTATTTTGTAACGGTAACGAGTTATTTTTTTTGGGTAATTTGTAACGGAAAATCGTTACTTTTATCGTTACTTTGTAATTGAATCAAATTGATACTTTCAAGAAAACTGAAACTAAAAGTTATTAACAAATGAAAAAAATTTATATTTAAAAAACATTATTAATTGAAAAATATTGTACTCCTGGAAACACCCCTTGTTTATAGTGACATCTGTCCGCAAATACGACGAATAAACACGTGTTACCGAACGCAGGCTTCTGGCATCTGCTTTCCTCATTTGATAACTGATGCGAGGACATTTACAATTCGTGGTAAACTAGAATCAGTATATTGCACTGTGGGTAATAGTCATCATAGAGTAAAAGTTACTATATATCTACGACAGGTAATAATGCTTATGTTCTCCACATAAACAGTTATCAACAGTTGGACATGGTATATCTGTTTTTTGTTTCAATTAAAACAAAACTTGTGATGGCAACTGTGTATAGGATCTAAGAAATGACAATTAATTGTATCTAGTTTTTCGTTCAAAATTTTCTTGTGTAGAATTTGAAAATTTTATTTATATAATAATATTAATAGTTTACAAAAAATATTTCCAATTTTTATTGAGATGTAAAATTTTTTTTTGCAGATTTAATCGTCTAGGGGTTTTCAGCGTGAAATTCATTTCATAGAATTATATTATATAATATTTATTTAGAATATTTGCTTTTAAATTTTTTTGTATAAAATTTTTTCGAGATGAGTTAATGTTGCAAAGTTTGCTTCGGTACAATTTATATACTGTGTATGGATTTATTTTGTAGTATTTAATTATGATGAGTAAAAATTTACATTTTAATTTTCTTTAACTTTTTTATGCTAGGTAGTATAGAATTTTGTTTGTAAAATTAGTTGACTTGTTTTGTTATTTTCAATCAATAAAAATGCTTTTGCTTAATTAACACTTTTCGAAGGCTTTCCGAACACTCTAAAAGAGTTTTGAATTTTTGACTAATAATTCCACAAACTTAATTATCATAAACTACGACAGAATTTAATTCGTAGTACCTAATACAACTTTTTACGCAGTAAATAGATGTTAATATGCCTAATAAACTGAAATATGCTGAGATATTTGATGGTGCGTACTTTTAGGCAATGCGTACTCATAAGCTATAATACCTTACCCTACATATTAATATATTATGTACATATATTTACATTATATATCTATAATGTCCATAATATTACCAAAACTCATTATGATTCTTTAATACTTTTATGTTTATTTTATCTAAAAAAACACGTGAAATTTTAGACTTTTCTAAATAAATTCCCACTCTTATTCTGTTCATTAGTAATTAAGTGAACTACTGTGTATATATAAACTGACGAGAATAAAAAATATTCATTGTGAATCTTTTTGTGTACAAAATCAACTGAAAAAATGTTCCTACTTAAAATATTGCAGCTTTCAACTTGTATTTACCTAGTGCTTTTATGTAATGGTCTGTCTTCAACACCAATACCTAAAACGCCATCTCCTGAAAGCGTCAATAAAACGGTAAGAATTCGTCGTTTTTTCTATACTTGATATCCCATTATTCAGTTTCCATTTGATTCTCTATTTTTAAAATGCTTACTATAATTTAAAAAAATATATTTTATCATACGGTATTTCATCATATCATTTGATAAAAAAAGGTGTGAATTTTAAATCAGTGATTAAATTCAGATCATATTTGTGCATGAGAATTTTTTATTAAATAAAAAAGAAAAAATCTTATTACAAAAAGGTCATACCAAAGCATTATGCGTTACGTGCTTAACGCTTTTTCGTAAAACTAATTAGTCGAATAAAATATCATATAAAACCCCTAGAAAAAAATTACACGTGTATTTAAACATTCTGGTGCCGAAATTGTACAAGATCTTGTACATGTTCTTACCAGAACAGGTACAAGTTCAGTAGCTGAACATGTACATTTTCTTGTACAGGGTTTTTCAATAGGGTACACGTGCAATTTATACTTTAAAACTTTTTTTAAATTCTATGACTTTGTTACACGTGTAATTCGTACTTGGAAATTTTTTTGAACTTTAAGAATTTGTTACACGTGTATTTTATACTTTGATGCTTCTCGAATATTTTATAAGCTTTATAACATTGTAACGTTTGTAATTGTAAGAATCAATATTTTAGCTCGCCGAGCCAGGGTTCGTTATGATTCCAACAAAAATAATGACAGAATAATTACGGGTTAATTACAAACTGAAACAAATTATTTATTTACAACGGTATTTACAGGCGTACAGATAAATCGCGGAAGTTGGTTTCACACAACGATTGTCGGCGTCTATCGCGATACGTTGAGCCGAGGAATCGAGATTCGGCGATAAGCCGTGAAATCAATTGTAATACTGCCTAAAAATTCGCGATATTCTGGTGAACCACGAGTAAAACTTGTGTTCAAATTATACGAAGAGTAAAACTCTCTACAAAGATTTTCGGAGTAAAACTCCTAGTCAGGTGGGTAAGACCCACCCGGATTCCGTGTAGCACGAGAGTGACGGTCCTCAGCGAGAGCGCAGCTTATATATAGCCGATCGGTGGGCTGGGCGCACGCGAGTGAGCTTCGGTGATGCGGCCTGCGCGGCGAAATCGGGTACTACGTCTTTGTGCTCCGCGGTCGGTAACATGTTTATCGACGCGCAATAATATTTAGTACAAATATTTTCCGGCCGATTTCTAACTATCATTACAACACGTGTAATTCTTACTTTGAAGCTTTTTTTAAATTTCTGAATTTTGGTACACATGTAATAGATACTTTTATATTTATCGAATATTTTTGAAACTTTTTACACATGTGATTCATGCTGTGAAACTTTTTTGATATTTCAAGAATTTGTTCACATTTAATTACACGTGTATAAGATACTTTGATATTTCTTAAATATTTTATTACCTTTACACGTGTAATAGATACTTTGAAACTTTTTTGAAAATTTTTGAAAAACTCAAAAGTATTCCGGGCAAAAAATCAAAAAACTTTTTTTATGCGTTTAAGTTTACATTTTCAAAAAAAAGAAATTTTTGTACTCGACTTGTGCTCTTTAGTGCAATAATTCGTTATTTGAAAAACTTAAAATTCCGAGCAAAAAAATCAAAAAACTTTTTTTATGAGTCTAAGTTTACATTTAAAAAAAATTGTGCTGTTAAACTTTTTTATCCCGGAATTTTAAGTTTTCCAAAAAACGAATTTATGCACAAAAGGGAAGAAGTCAAGCAGAATTGAGCACAAAATTTGTTTTTTTGAAAAATGTATGTAAACTTAAACGTATAAAAAAAGTTTTTTCATTTTTTTGTCTGGAATTTTGAGTCAATTTAGTTTGAACAAATTTTGAAAAATAATTTAAAGTTACTTTTTTAAAATAAAATGTTCAAAGTCTACTTTATGCAAATTATTTCACCCACAAAAATGATTTCTTTGATTCAAAAAAATCAATTTCTTTGACAATTTTTTCTTTGATACAAAGAAAATTTATTTTCTCTGGGTTTTGAATTTGAAATTCTGTCAAATTTTTAAAATAACTAAATTTTTTAAAAATTTGATTAAAACATTATTTAAATAATTAATTCAGCGAACAATTCTGAACATCTTTTAGAAATGATTGAAATTTTTGAGATTTTTATTAGTAATTGTTTTAAATTAAAATTGATGAAAATTATTAACAAAATTTTAAGTAGAGTAAGAATTTCTGAAACGTGCCACCTAAAACTGAAAAAATTTATTTTTTGTTGAAATGTTATTTTTCTTAAAGTATTTTATATGCACAATCACCGCCTAAAACGATTTTGCAAAAAAAATTTTTGTTGTTATTAACAATTTTATATTTTTGACCCTTTTTTAAAAAAAATTGCAATTGGTTTAATTAAACATTTTTGACAGCGCGCATGGTGCATATAGTACGTAGTGAGTGACAGGCGCCGCGCTACGTTCCGCAAGAACTCTTATGTAGGTATTCTATTCTACAAAGTCTGTGGAAAAATTAATTTTATTATTAAATTATAATTTTCAAATGTTGTTTTAAAAAAAATGTTTCAAATTTGAGTTTACATATTATTATTATTAATTTTATTATTGCGTAAGACTCCGTCAGAAATATCACGATTTGCAAGGGGTCTTTGAATTCGTCTGTAATTTTGTAAAATTGTAGTATTTAAAGTAATTTTTCCTTTAAGATTTTTATAATTCTCGATTAATGTCAGTGTCATGTCAGGAGTCCATTTGTTTTTAGTGTTTTATATAAATATATATATATATATAAATATATAGAATGCTTAATTATGCTGCCGGATCAAAGAAGGGTACATAACTAATGTAATTCAAATGAGTTATGTACCCCTCTTTGATCCGGCAGTTCAATTTATAAAATTTACCAAAAAATCAATTTCAATTTAGAAACTTACTTGATAGCGTATTCTCTTTATTATTATCATCACCACTGAAAGATTTGTCCTTTCTCTTTGTAGTGAATTTTCTCAATTCTGTTTCTATAAAGAAGAGACAAACAAAATAAGAAAAAATCAAATTTATTGAATAAGATAAGGTTAAAAATTATATAATTACAAAATAAGATTATAAACATTAAATAAGAAAAAATTTATTTCGGAATAAAATGAAATACACTTACCTTTATTTATGTTTATCACATAAGATTTAAGTTAAGTTCACAATCACAACACTTGAAAATTTTTAATTATTTTTATGGTTCAAATAATTATCAATAATTTATTTATTATAAATGAACAAAATTTAAGAAATGCACGCTTGATAAATATTTCTAATGCGTTGTCAATTAATGCAATTAATAATTTCCTATTACACAATATCATAATCCAAAGCAGAGTTGGGTAGGATTCTGTTTCACGTTTAAGGTACATGTAATTTTGAAATAGGGAAAAACTGAATAATTATTTTTTAATAGTTTTGTTAAAAATAATTTGAACTGTAAAAATAATGAAAAAAATTCAAATGTTGCGATCTTTGTTCAGACAAATGAAAATTCTAAGAGTGTCGAAAGTTGTCTTGATCAAAAACTGTAGTCTGTTTCACGTTCACCTCTTAGTTGCAATGTTTTAACTAATGAAATTTAATGTTTAATGTTAAATTAAATTTAATGTTTTAATCAATGAAACTAAACTATACTTTTATAAACAGGTTGAGAACCTTTTCGTGATAACTGAGCGCTCATAGCGAGAATTTGGAAAATGCATACACTTTCTGAAAATTATTGTTGGACATAATTTCAATCCTACCCAACTCTGTTTTAGACGAAAATATTTTGGGCTCTTGTTTCCCAACCCTGGTTGTTTACAAATGTCATATATGTCGATTATGATATCGTGTAATAGGAAATTATTAATTGCATTAATTGACAACGCATTAGAAATATTTATCAAGCGTGCATTGCTTAAATTTTGTTCATTTATAATAAATAAATTATTGATAATTATTTGAACCATAAAAATAATTAAAAATTTTCAAGTGTTGTGATTGTGAACTTAACTTAAATCTTATGTGATAATGTAACACACGTCGCTGGATCTTGAAGTTTAATTCACACTGCTGCTTGAAATGTCCAAGAAATTTGGTTGATATTTAAAACTTAAATTTCGAATCTCTTCCGTTTGATTAATTTTTTTTTTATATTTATTTTTCTTTCGTGGGTACTTAATCGTTTAAGTCCTTAAAAGGACTTACTTGTTAAGAAAAAAGAGAAAAATACTTTATTTATCTTTATATTGTCACACTATTTAATTATGATTTATTAATTAAATGAAAACACCATTAATTAATCAAAGTATTAATTATCATTTATTCAAGTCAAATCTAATTTTTGAGTCTTGATAATTAACAAAATAAATTATGATTAATTTAATTTATTATAATTTTAAAAGTTGTGTTCTTTGCACAATTTCTTTTTTGTAAAATTTAAATACACGTATCGTACTCAAGTTATAGTCAAAAAATCTAGTCCCTACTTTTTAAATTTCATTTTTATACTATTTTCCCACCTTTAGTCTTGGACCCTTTTTCCCTTTCTTAATCTAAATTCTTCCAATTAGAATTTTATTTTTTGGTTCTTTAGTTCCGCCCTCACCAATTACTTGGCTTGATAAATGCGAACATCTTGTAACCATCATATTTGTTTTGATATTTTTTTTTTTATGAAACACACCTGCACTTATTGCGCATTTTCTCCTCATAATTCTACGTTTAACTTTTCTTATATTGCTTATTTTTCTCTCAAAATTGCGCCTTAATTTATTGATTTTCAACGGTAATTCCATTTTTTTCTGAGAATTTTATGATTCATTTTCTTTTTCTTTATCTCTATTTTATTTTATTTATTTTTTTTTTATTTTCATGATTCATCCCTTTTTAAGGATTCTTAAAAATATAATAATTATATTATCTTATTCTGTTATAATTTATTCTAAAAAATAATAATTATCAATGATTGGTTTATTATTTTATTATAATATATGATCCAAAT